ATTTGACAGATGAGACCCCCAGCTCCCCCTCCTAGAGCAGAGATGTGCCCAAGATCAGGGAAGCAGTCAGAAGCCTCTGTTTTGAGCCCAGGAGCTCTGGCTTCAGAGCCAGAGCTCAGGTCCCCTGCTCCCAGAGGAAGGTGGCCCCCACCAGCTTTCCTGGGGCAGCCCAGGTGTCCAGAGAATGTACCCTGCCGAGAGCCCAGCACAGCAATGAGGCACTCAATAAACATTCTGGTGGTAGTTGTTCCTCTCAGGTGCTTTGAACTCCTTGGTTGAGGGTGCTGGGGCCTGGGAAAGGGCTGATCCCCATCTGTCCTCGGGTGCTGTGTGTCCCAGTTTGTGTGTCTGTGCTGGCAGGTGCTCACTGACCCAAACATGTGACCCACAGAGGGTGCCTGGCAAGGGCAGGGAAGGGGGCTGGGCAGGAAACCCCAGGGACTTTGGGCTTCAAGCCTCTCCTGGGCCTCAGTTTCCTCACCTGTACAGTGAAGGGAGTTTGACTCAGGACATCTAAGGCCCCTTCCAGATCTATGAGCACACAGTCCAGCACACAGCAGGGGCTTAATAGATGTTTGTTGATTGACTGATTGATGGATCCATGACCTAGAATCCCAAGATCTGCTTCTTGCATGGCCTCAAAGAGCTAAGCATTAGGAGTATTGATTTGCCAAGTTTGTGGAGGATGGATCAGAAGGGGGAGAGACTAGGAGATGAGGCATGGAGGCCAATGAGAAGGCCACTGCAATAATCCTAGGGTCTTTCACGGACCCCATAACCATTCTGAGTTGAAGATGCATAAGGACTTAGCCTTGGGACTGGCCAGGGAGGGCCATCCCTGCGGTCAGCCATGGGGCTGCAATCCTCAGCTCTTTTCCCAGAGGCTGGAGAGAGTTCTCTGACCTATATTTGCCTTTATTATTAGCTCCCAAGCCTAGGAGCCTGAGACAAACACTGCCTGCAACACAATTCTAGGAACTGTTGACGTATCTGGCGTTTCCATCCCAGGCGGTGGGAGCCACTTTAAACAGCCAGGAGGGATCTGAGTGCTGCTGGCTGGTCCAGCTGGCTCACTGCTGTTCCCAGGCACAAGCAAGGAGCCATTGTTGCTGTTTTCAGGACATAGAAAAGACTGGGTGTCCCAGCAAATGCAGATGATGTCAGCGTGGAGTGGCGGGTGGGGAGTCCGGCCAAGAGGCTGGGGGTTGCTCCCTGCTGAGCCCGGCCTGAGCTGGGGAGGGGAGGGCAAGGGAGGGCGACAGGGCTCTCCCTCTGCTTCTTGTTCCCTCCTCTCACAGGACAGCCCATACCTGTTTGGGCAGAGGCCCTGGGGCCTGGTCTTGTTTTCAGCGAGGGTATGCACTGGCCTTCTTTCCGAAGAAAGAACTCCACGGAGGCTCTTCCCACCCTCACCTTGATCCCCCAGCACCACCCCTAGTCAGCCTGGAGTGAGGTCAGGGAACCTTCGGGAATAGCCCCCATAACTCATCCTCATCCGTCAGTCGTAGTAAGGGAGTAATCACCACTGAAGCACACAATAGGAAAGGAGCATGGCCAAGGAATAGCTACGTGCCCCCCAACAAATCTTACTATGTGCCAAGATTGTTGCTGCTGTTTAGTTGTGTCTGATTCTCTGTGACCCCACTTGGGGTCTTCTTGGCAAAGATACTGCAGTGGTTTTGCCATTTCCTTCTCCAGCTCATTTTACAGATGAGGAAACTGAGGCAAATAAGGTTAAAGTGACTTGTCCAGGGTCACACAGCAATAAGTGTCTGAGGCCAGATTTGAACTCAGGAAAATGAGTGTGAAAAGAGTGCCTGCCCTCATGGAGTTTGCATTCTGTCAAGGAAACACACCAAGCACATGTCAGTAGATACGGAGTAAACACAAGCCATTTTGGAGGGAAGCCCAGGAGCTAGTGGAGGAAGGAAGGGCTCAGGTGGGAGGTATCACTTGAGTTGAACTTTTTTTTTAGGCAATTGGGGTTAAGTGACTTGCCCAGGGTCACACAGCTAGTAAATGTCAAGTGTTTGGTCTGAGGCTGGATTTGAACTCAGGTCCTCCTGACTTCAGGGCTGGTGCTCTATCCACTCTGCCACCTAGCTGCCCCCTGAGTTGAACTTTGAATGCCCAGGTGAAACAGACCCTCAGAACCGAGAAAAATCCTCCACCCTCTCAGGGCTGCTTAGCAGGGTCTTACATTCACTGCCATCCTCCTTCTCCTCAACAAAGACATTAACAATGGCTGAGGCGGATACACCTTTACGTCTGCAAAGCTCTTGGACTCATTAAGTCACGTGCCCATAATTTCATTTGAGCCTCACAATATCTAACCTGCTCTTCTTTTTTGGGAGATTGCATAGTCTTGGATGGAGAACTAAACCTGGGTTCTAATGTCACCTCAGACAGTCTCACTTAAGCAACCCTGGGCAAGTCACAACCTCTCTGGGCCTCAGTTTCCTCAACTGTAAAATGAGGGCATCAGACTCAATGACTTAGAGATTCCTTCTAGGAAAACTGGGTCTCAAAATCCTGACTCTGACATTACTTAGCTGCGTGTCTGAGAATAAACTGTGTTTCTGCTATGTGCCTCAGTTTCTTCATCTGTAAAATTAGGGAAATAAATGAATCATTACTCAAGCTCAAGCCAAAGAAGGGCACCCTGCATCCCCCAGAGAATAAAAGCAGAGGCATATTCCTAAAAGGACTACTTTTCCACCTCTGATCCAGCAGTCTCCTCCCCCTGGAGAAGCCTCCACCCTTTTAATCCCCCTCCTGTCACTGGTGAGTTCCTGCCAGGGACCGCCATTTCAGGAAGTGCCCAGGTGGTCAGTACTCATTCCTCTCCTAACTCAGCTCTTGAATTTAGGACCTTCCAGTCTCTACAACAGTCTAGTACCTTTCCCCTTCCAAGCACCCTCTTCAAGCTCCATTTTGGGTGAAATCTCTTCATATTAAAATGTTGGGACTATGGTTTTTTTTGCTTGTATTAGTATCTGTTAGCATTGTGTCTGACACATAGTAAGCACTTAATAAATGTACTGTCTTCTGTCTGTCTATCTAAGACTTGCAATAAGGCCCTGATCATAGGATCTCAGATTCAGTCAACATTTTTTGGGCACCTACTATGTGCATGGTACTGTGGTAGGGACTATGGGTCTCTGACCCAAGAAATTCACAAGACAGTATATATATTTTTGGAGTTTTGGGTTTGTTTGGGGGTTTGTTTGTTTTTGAGGCAATCAAGGTTAAGTGACTTGCCCGTTGTCACACAGCTAGTGTCTGAGGCTAGCTTTGAACTCAGGACCTATGCTCTATCTACTGCAATGCCTAGCTGTTTTGGCAGTATATAAATTAATATCAAATTCTTAGCCTCATAGATTCAGAGCCTGAAGGGACCATAGAAATAATCTAGGCTAAAACTCTCATTTTAAAGTTAAGGAAATAAAGGCCCAAGGTCACACAGTTAGTAAGTGCCAAAGTTGAGATTTGAACTCAGTTCCTTTGACTCCTAATCCTGTGCTCTTTTCACTGTATTACATGAAACAACAACCCTCCTCCTGGTTTTCTGACCAGTTTTTTGACCACATAAAGGGAGCCCTCAGGGTGCCTGGGCAGCCTTTGGATATACCGGAATGGGAAGCAGTGGTGTTTGGTTAAGGATATGGGCATATCACATCCCGCTTCCTAAAAATCAGTGCCAGAATCCCACCCAGAGAGTCAGGACAACGTCAGCCTTCCTGTTACAGAGAATTTTCCTCTCTCGACGTAGCGATTTGGGCTGTGTCCCTGGATATAACTTCCACCAGAGCTGATTCCTTCCTAATCTGCCCACCTGGACCTGCACCTAGCGGAGAAGACCCTGACACACTTTGTGGCTGTGCTATCCAGCTGTGGGAGCTGGAGAGAGGGGTAGCAACATGGTCTTAGCTTTTCTTCCTGGACACACACACACACACACACACACACACACACACACACACACACACGAGTCACTTCGCCCTTGCTGGGTTCTTTTCTTTCTGTGTCCTCCAGATATCTCCAACCAAAGGTGATGGCCCTGGACAGATGACCATTTCTTTGGCCAAGTTGCTCACCTCCAGCTGCCTGATGTGTGTACAGGAGGTCAGCTGGCATATAGGTAGAAAGGGCAGCTAGGCGGTATAGTGGATAGAGCTCTAGGCCTGGAATCAGGAAGACCTGAATTCAAATCCAGCCTCAGACTATATGACCCTACAAATCATTTAATCTCTGTTTGTCTCATTTTCCCCATCTGTAAAATGGGGGTAATAACAGTACCGACCTAGCAGGGTTGTTGTAAGGATCAAATGAGATATTTATAAAGTGTTTATGTCACATTGTAGGCATTACATAAATGTTAGATATTATTATGTGAGTGCAAGGTATAGAGTGTTGGACTCTTGGGTCAGGAAGATCTGAGTTCAAATCTGGCATCAGACATTTACTAGCTGTGTGACCCTGGACAAGTCACTTAACCTCTGTTTGTCTTAGTTTCCTCATCTGTAAAATGGGGATAATAATAACACCTACCTCCCAGGTTCTTGTGAAGATAAAATGAGATAAAATTTATAAAGCACTTTTGTAACCTTAAAGTGCTATATAAATATTTTTTTTTTAGGTTATCGGGGTTAAATGACTTGCTGTGCATCACACAGCTAATAAGTATCTGAGGTCAGATTTGAACTCAGGTCCTCCTGACTCCAGGGCCAGTGCTCTATCCACTGCCACCTACCTGCCCCACTAACTCTTCTTATTAATAATATTCTTATCAACAGCACTTTAAAAAACCCCACTCTGCCTATGTAATTCACCATCTAATTGGGAGGAGTTAATGCAACAAGTTGACCTGAAAAGCTAAGGAAATCTCTGGGATGCCAAGTGTCCAGGACAAAGGAGGTGAGAGATCTGTTCTCTCTGCTGTCTGTTCTCTGCCCTGCTTAGACCACATCTAGAACACTGTGTTCAGTTGTGGGTCTCACCTTTAAGAGAGGACAGAGACATGCCAGAGATCATCTAGAGGAAGGCAGCCAGAATGGTGAGGGTACCAGCGAGCATGCCATCCAGAGGATCCCCAAGCTGGAAAAGAAAGAATTTGAGGGAAGTAGAACCATCATGTGGAAGAACAGGGTAATAATAATAGTTAGCCTTCAGACAATGCTTTAACATCATTTTTCTGGTGAGGCAATCAGGGTTAAGTGACTTGCCCAGGGTCACACAGATAATAAGTGTCAAGTGTCTGTGTTCGATTTGAACTCAGGTCCTCTTGAATCCAAGACCGGAGCTCTATCCACTGTGACACCTAGCTGCCCCAGAGTGCTTTAATATTTGCAAAGCACTTTCAATGCCAGGCATGTCCAAAGCCTTGACACAAAAAGTTTTAAACCAAAGTAGAATCTGATGTCTGGGTAGGTAGTAGCCTCTCCATCCCTGGACAGCTTCAAAACAGAGGGGAGATGACCACTTGGGATTTCTGTTCAGGCAAAGGATGAGCCACATGACTTCTGAGTTAACCAGGTCTGGAAGCTGGGAAAGGAAACCAATGGATTTGGAGTCCAAGAGACAGGTTTCAAATCCTGTCTCTGTTACTTATTAGCTGTGTGACTTTGGTCAAGTCATTTCCTGTCTCATCTGTAAAACTAGAGAAAGAATGGAATGTTCTCTGAGGTCTTCAGCTGTAAATCTGTGATCCTTTGTTTTCCTTAACTCTGTGAGACAAGACAATATAAGTCACTCAGAGTCAGTCAACATTTATTAAGCACCTACTATGTGCCAGGCAAGGAGCTAAGCCTAAGGGTTACAAAGAAAGGCAAAAGACAGTCCCTGCCCTCATGGAGCTGTCAGTCTTTGTGTAACTTTTGATCTTTATGAAAAGCTAACTTTTCAAGGCAGTAGATAAGGCCATTAGGAGTAGAGACAAGAGATGATATAGCCTGCTATCCATT